AAGAGTCAGAGTTCCCCAGGTTTTCTGGTGGGAGTCAGGCTGGCGAGGCTGGCACAGGCCTGGGCCCTCCTGCCTTTGTGCTGCCCTTTGTCCGCGAGGATCCCGGGCCAGAGGCTACCCATGATCCTGTGGATAGCTGTGGGTGTGTGCCCAGCTGGCAGGGAGGGCCCTGAACAGACAGGGAGCTCCAGGGACACTGCCCTGCAAGTATGTGGGCGGGATGGAATGTGGAAGGGAGAAAACACAGATAGGGAGCACCAGGAATAGCATTGCCAGGGAGTTAGTTACCAGGGGCCAGTGCAGGCCCAGGAGACTGAAGGAGGGAGGCCCCCTACCCCCATTGGCAGTTTCAGGAAGTCAGGAGCCCAATGGGTAGACTGCAAGCACCTGGATGAGATTCCCCTCTTCTTCCTGAGTGGCTGGGCGAGTGGGAAAGGGAGGTGGCTAGGCATCTTCACCTGAGTCACCCCCCCTTTTTGCTCACAGGCTGACACAGCCAGAGCCCCACCCTCCCTGTCAGCTGGCCTGCCCCAACCAGCCAGGAGAGATGCCTGCTGCTTGCCCAGACAGGTGCTCTGGCCAATGAGGCCACACACACACACACACACACACACACACACACACACACACACACACGGAGTTTCTCCCATGTCTGTCCAGAGTCTTTGGGAAGAGTAACCTAATCAGAGGCTCCTTCCCCGTATGGGAGGTTTCACATGGGGAAACTGAGGCAGCAGTCAGTCGCCTCTAAGTTCCCACAAGCAAATCCCCAGCATGGCTGGGGACTTGAACGTCCACCAGTCCACTTCTTCCCACAATTTCTTTCTGCCTCTTCCCAGCCCAGGGAAACATGAATGTAAGAAAGGAGAAGAAGCTAATCAGAAAAATCTTTTTTTTTTTTTTGGTCACATAGGCAGTTCACCAGGGCTGAGTCCTGGCTCAGTGCTCAGGATCACTCCTGGTGGGTTTCGGGGGGCTCTATGCATTGCTGGGGATCGAACCCAGGCTATCCACACATACACACAAAGCAAGCAAGGCAGGCACCTTCCCCCGCCCCGTCCTCTCTCTCGGGTACTGAGAACACAGTGGGGTGAGACAGTGGCACAGAGCTGGGGTCCAGGTCAGGGCCTCTGCTCATTTCCTTTAAGGGTCCCCCAGGAGCCCTTACGACTTCACCTAAGGGTCTGAACCCCAATTTGAAGGGACTTGGGACCAGGACTCAGAGGCGCCCAGACCTTGAACATTTATCCCTTCCCCACACCCCCACCCCCTTTCTGTGGCCGCCAGGGAACCCAAGCGCAGCTCTGAGACCCTGAATATTTCATCAGGCTTCATCCTGATGAAGCCACAGCCAGCTTCCAGCTCCTGGGTAATTTATGGCTGGAGCAGAGAATCCGGTGGCGGCATGGGGGAGGGGAAGCCTGCTTGCCCCGCCCCTCCAGGATCACTGAGGGTGCCGCAGAGAACCCAGCTCCATCGGAAGGGGGCAGGGGGCAGGAGTCAGAGAGGAGCAGGAATTCCCAGCGTTGAAACATTTCTATTTTTGAGAATGCCAGTGTAATAACAACAACAAAAAAAGTGGGAGTTATAAAATTGTGCTAAAGGTTAAAGTCCGAGAACCAGCAGCACTTCCTGACTTTTCACTCTGCACCTGTGTGAGTGAGCAGAACACAGTGATGGGCAGTCCTTCCTAGCTGTGTGGCATCTCAAAGGCCTCCTGCTTCCCATGCCTACCAAGGGAGAGAGATGAGACTCCTCACTCAGATGGCTAGAACCCAGACCCTGTCCAGCCTCCTCCTTCAGGAAGGCCACCAGGGTTTAGCCAAATGTGGTCAAGGGAAAAGGCATCTTGCTTGACCACCTGTATCTTTGTTCCAGGAACTTAGCAGAGCACTTTGCTTCTAAAAGGCTAGATGGAAAAGGGGACCCCTAAGTGGCCAGTGTCAAGTTTCCCTGACTTCTGTGCATGTGATCTAGCTTAGTGAGTGTGCTTCCTCAGATTCAAGATCAATGTGAGTGTGTGTGTGTGTGTGTGTGTGTGTGTGTGTGTGTGAATAAGCAGGCATAGCCTCCCCTTACCTCAGTTTCCCCACCTGAGTCATAGGCCTGAGAGGCATTCCACCTCAAGGGCTGTTTGGGGGACAGGAGAGATGCTATCCAGGCACCCTGGCGCCAGGTGGGTCCAGGCAGGTGGTGATTATGGAGTGATGTGTCCCAGGTCGGGTCTGGGGGTGGGGGTGCTCGCTGTAGCCAACCCTCAGTCACCTTGGTGCTTGCTCGCTGAGACTCAGTCCCAGCCTGGGGGCTTGAGCTCTTTTCTCTACCTGGGTCCCTTGTAGGGGTCACCTGTCGGGTTGTCCTGGGGAGAAGCTGGAGGAGAAGGCGAGAAGGAGGGTCCAGAGTGGATGAGGAGGGCTGGAAGGTTTGGGCCGGAGACTATCATGATCCCCCATCATAGTTAGGTTCCTAGATCCAGCGCCTAACTGGACCTGGCCTGACGCTGTGTTCCAGGGCGGAGGAAGGGTGAGACCTCAAATCTACTCACGAATGGGGAGAGAGTCCCAGCGGAACACAAAGGAATTTGCAGGGATTTCAGAGCTTCTAAAACTGTCCACTTGTGACCCCTTCCCACCTCAGAGACAATCCAGGCGAGCACCACCAAACACCCAGACTCTCGCTGGGCTGATTTTACTCCTTGTGTGATGTTTGTTTTCACACCAGCTAGTGCTCAGGGATCACTGGTAGAGCTCGGAGGACCGTAGGGGATTACAGAGATGGAACCTGGGTCGGCCGCATGTAACCAAGCTACCTGCTATACTATCTCTCCAGCCCCAGACACCGCTTACGGTTGCCAACATTTTCTTGATCTCCCGCCCCGAGGTCTGCAGCCTTTCACACAGTGGAAGATGCCGTGATCCCCGTCGGCCAGGAATGTGGCTCAGAGGGAGTACGTGACAATACAACCCCAGCAAGACTGTTTTAGAGACCTCCCACATCTAGTCTGATCCCGCACTGCTGACAGTGGGGGCCAGAAGGACTCTAGGATCAGTCTCTAGCTGCTCCCTCCAGCCCTCCTGTACCCCTCATCTCCTCTGGGCTGCTCTGATATAGGGGGGCTTGTCCCCATGTCATCTCTAGCCTCAAGGGGCAGAGCCAGTAGCCCCTACCACACAGGGGGTACCTAGTGCACCCTGGTGTTCCCCTTATTTGGGGAGGGTCTCTGGGGGCGAGTTTGACCCTATCAGCAGCCTGTGCTCTCTGGGCTGTCTTTGGGGTGCTAGGGGGGAAGGACGGGAAGAAAGAGGCTGTGGAGGGAACCCAGGTGTCTACACTGGGTGGAGCTGGATGTATGGGTTGAAGGGCCCCAGAGGGCCCACGCCAGGACTCGGTCTCACCGGTTTGGGGAGCTGGCAGGGCACCAGGGAGAGGCGGGAGGGGCTGGCAGCTGCCCGGGAAGGGGGAGCTGAGTAAGGCACGTGGGCTGGGAGGGCCGGGGAGCGCAATGGGACGTGCTGCACCCAGGGGACTGCCCTGCCCCCACCCCCCCACCCTACCCAGCATCACTCTTTTCGGGCTCAAGGGCCCCACCTTCGGCTTCTCAACCCGGGTGGGCGGCTGCGGGCCCAGTGACTCTCAGTAGAGAGGTGACCCATGCGCAGCTTCCCACGACGAAGCAACCGCCCGCGACCCCGCGGCTCCGGGGTCTGCGCTCCCGCCGTCCCCATCCCCCCACCCCCACTCCCGCGCAGGCCCGCACCCGCCCGCCGGGCTCCCGGGGGCCCCCGAGGGCAGCGCCGCCTAGACCCGGGCGGGGCCTCGGTGCGGGCAGCGGGCAACGCCGCGGCGGCCCGGGAGGGCTGGGGTGCGGCCCGGCAGCCCTGGCACCTGGGCGCTCTCGGGAGCGCTGACGCGGCCCGGCGCACCCGCCCCTGGGAAGGGGGAGAGGGGAGGAGTGAGGTCACCGGCGCCCCCAGCCGCGGCCCCACCCGGCGCTGCAGACGCGCTCGCCGGGACCTACGGGGCGGAGGGGCCCAGGCAAGGGCGGGTATGTGGACGGCTCGGACCCCGCTGGAATTCCACCCTCCGACGGGAAGGGAAGGCCACCGACCCCAATAAAAGGGAACCCCCCACCCCAACCGTCATCTGCATAGCCCTAGCCCCGCGTGGCCCCTTTTGCACTGCTGATTGTAGCCGCCTGGCGCGGCCCTCGCCCCCACACCTCGGGGCTCTGCCCCTGGGAGCCCGAGGGACGGGAGGGACTGGCCATCCAGCCGCCGTGAGGTCTCCTGCCATCAAAGTGCATCTCCAAGGGCCCCACGCGTCCATCTGCCAAGCCGGGGTCCCCAGGCCCGCTGGAGCTAGGGGAAAGGGCAGGGGGCAGGGCAGGCACCCTCTGGCTCCAAGGAACCTGGGTCAGCGTCATGTGTGGGCACTGAGGCTCGGAGGTGAGGTCGGTGTCAGAGCCCCCCGCCCCAACCACGCCCAGCTGGGCAAATCCAGACCTTTCCAGTGTGGAAATGCGAAACCCTCTTCCGGGGCGTCCGACGGGAGCTGAGGCCTCGCGCCCCCTGGCGGCGGGTGGCAGCCGCACAGGCTCGCTCAGGCACGAACCCTGCCGCCCCCACCCCGTCCCCGCACCCCTCTCTCCCCTTCAGTCCGCGCGCGCAAAGGGAGGGAAATATCTGCACGCTGCCCACTTTCCCCACGGGCGACTGGACTCCAGGCGCTGAGACCCAGTCAACAAGAAATACTTACTGAGCACCCACTGCCAGCCTGCAAGGCACAGGGGACTCCTGGTGCAGTGCTCCTAACCATGCCACTTCCCCTCTCTGGCCCATTGGGCTGTGATGCCAACAAGGAGCCAGAGTCTGTAGCCTGGAATGGGGCTGTAGCAGGGGTTGGTTGCACCCCTCCAACCTAGGGACCCAGAGAGGAGACAGGACGGGGTGCAGCATGGTCCCGGGGCGGGGGGGGGGGGGGACAGGAGGGGCCTGGCCAGCTCTGTCCATCGCACATTTTTAATAAATAGTTCTTGCTGCTGTCCAGGTGGCTGAGGGGTGCCACTGGCCCCAGGCTTCCCCAGCTTTTGAGGTGTCCATCCAGGGATCTTTCTTCTCAATCTAGTTCAGGTTCCAGGTCTGGAAAGGAAAGGAGGGCACTTTGGGGTTGAGCACCCCTCCCGATGGGTGCTCTCCGGAAGGGGTCTGAACTGGTCTCAGCTCTGGGAAGAAAGACCCTCGCCACCCACAAGCAGGACAGGGTTGCTCTCAGGGTGAAGCCCCCCACTGCATCCGGACCCAGGTCACTGACCAGCCTCAGCCTCGTCGCCCTTGGCATCCGGCTCCTGCCACCAGTCGGCATAGATGCCCTCCTCGTAGTCGCCCTCCCCTTCAAACTCAGCATCTGATGGGGGGGTCTCCGGCTCTGCGGGCGCGTCTGTCTCCTCCAGCTCCATCTAGAGCAGGCCAGAGCAGGGAGAAGCCAGTTTCAGTGGCCTAGGTTCGTGCCCAGGTTAGTGTCCAGGCCCTTGCCCTCCCGAAGTCCCTCCTCCCCCAGCCTCATGCAGAAACAGTGTGGACTCAGGAACTCAGGCACGGCGCAAGCAGCAGAGCACAGGGTTAGTTCCACCCTCTCCAAAGCCCACCTTTTGTTTGGTTGCTTTTCTTTTCTTGCCACACCCAGCGGCGCTCAGGGGTTACTCCTGGCTCTGCACTCAGGATAACTCCTGGCTAGCTTGGGGGTCCAGATGGGATGCTAGGATTGAACCCAGGCTGGCCACATGCAAGGCAAATAATCTATCTGCTGTACTATTTCTTTGCCCCCCCCCCCCCCTTTGGTTTGGTTTTGTAAACCTGATGGTGCTCAGGGCTTACTCCTGGCTCTGTGCTAAGAAATCACTCCTGGAAGTGCTTGGGACACCTGGGTTGGTGGCATGCAAAGCAAGCACCTTACCCACTGGACTATCTCTCTGGTCCTAAAACTTTTTTATTTGTTTGGGGGCCACACCTGGCAGTGCTCTGGGGTGCTCAGGGGGTCACTTCCAGTGGTGCTCAGGGGACGATGTGGTGCCAGGGATAGATCCCAGACCTCCTGCTTGCAAACCCTGAACTCCAGTTCTTTGGGCCATCTCCTCAGTGCCTCCAGAGTGTCCTCTTCAGCAGTAACCCCAGGCAGGCAGGACACTGCAGGGCCGTGTGTGGGCTCTGGGAGCCTGGGGTGGGGGGTGCCTTTAGGCTACAGGCTGGTTGTTGTGGAGCCCTGCCCACCTGCAGTGCCCGTGCTGCCCACTGCCTCTGCACTGGGCCACAAGCTGTCCAAGAAGGGGACTGTGTGTGCATCCCTCAGTGTGCAGTGTTGGACCCACAGCAGGCAACAAACGGGGGAATCACACCGGCTCCCATGTGCAAAACACCCGCTTTCTTCTTTTTTTGCTTTTGTTTTTGGGCCACACCAAGTGGTCCTCAGTGATCATTCCTGGAGATGCTCGGGGAACCGTATGGGGTACCAGGGACCAAACTTGGATTAGCCACATGCAAGGCAAACACCCGACCCACTAAACTGACACTCTGGTGCATTCTCATTTTCTTTCGACTGCAATGGATGGGGGATATTAGTTTCCCCACTTGGTGGCTGGAGGAACAAAAGCTCAAGGGTGTTCCCAGACTTGGCTGAAGGCCAGTCAGCTGCACCAAGTCTAGTTGACACCCAAGTTGGGGTACTGCGCCCTGTGGTGATGTGTGGGTGACTGAACAAATGGATGACAAAGCTCTCAACAGCACGCCTCAGAGAAATTCAAGCTTTCCAACCCTCCCGAGAATCTAGGCAATCCTGGGGTCCCACCATCCTGGCCCCCTGGATCATTCATTGGTTCATTCAAAATCAGTTTCCTTAATCTGGGGTGGGTAGGTGAGTCACACTTGGCTCGACACTCAGGGATCACTCCTGGAAGTGTTCTGGGGACCCTGGAGGTATTTTTTTTCTTTTTGGGTCACACCCAGTGATGCTCAGGGGTTACTCCTGGCTCTGCACTCAGAAATTACTCCTGGCGGTGCTTGAGGGACCATATGGGATGCTGGGGATTGAACACGGATTGGCCGCATGCAAGGCAAATGCCCTACCCACTGTACTATTGCTCCGGCCCCAACCCTGGAGGTATTCTAGGGATCATATGTGTTGTCAGGAATTGAACTGGAGTCGGTCGCATGCAAAGTGAGAGCCTTAACTCCTCTACTGTCTCTTTGACCCTCATACTCCTTCTTTCTTTCTTTTTTTTTCTTTTTGTTTCTGGGCCATACCTGGTGATGCTCGGGAGTTATTCCTAGCTCTGCACTCAGGAATCACTTCTGGCGGTGCTCGGGAGACCATATGGGATGCCAGGGATCGAACCCGGAATCAGACAAATGTAAGGTAGGCACCTTCCCTACTGGATTATTGCTCCAGCCCCTCAAGGTCCATTTCTAAGCAGCAAGTTGGAAAAGACACTTGGGAAAGACAGGGAGTCACTGGGTCTCCTGTCTGGACCATCCTGAAGACTGGATGGGCCAAAAGGAACTCTAGGTCCAGTCGACAGGTTGCCAAGGAGGTGACAAGGATCAAAGTGGTACAATAAACCCACGATACCACTTTGAGAGTGAGGGTATGCGGGCAGGGCTTCCTAGAGAAGGTGCTTGGAAGCTGGGCCCAGGAGAACAGCCAGGTGGACATGGGAATCCACCACTGAGGGGCTAAGGGAAAGGGACTCTCTGGCTTCCCCACAGCTGGCTGGGAGCTGGGACTGGAGCATAGCCCAGAAAGAGGCCTATGGGCTCTCTGTCCCCGCAGCATCCCTGTCCCAGCGGGCTGGGTGCCCCTACCTCATCGTCAGACTGCAGGTACAGCTCTGCGAACTCCAGAAGCTCCCGCAGCTCTGTGGTCTGGTTGTGGTACAGCACGGCCTCCTGGAAGGAGAGGAAGCAGGCGAGTAAGCTGGGCCCCTGGCTCTTCCCAGCGCTGGAAAACGGAACTGCTTGGAGAGCCCTGCTAAGATCCTGAGGCCTGGGCGATAGCACAGTGGGAGGGCTGTGACTTGCCTCTGGCTGACCCAGGTTCGATCCCCAGCAACCCATATAGTCCCCTGAGCACCGCCACGAGTAATTACTCAATGCAGAGTCAGGAGTAATCACTGAGCATTGCCAGGTTTGCCCCCAAACCCTAGGTTACAGAGAGAGTACAGCATGTGGGGCACTTGCCTGGCACACAGCCGACCTTAATTTTATCCCTAATACCACAGAGAGCCCCCAGAGTGGCTCCTGAGCACAGAACCAGGAGTAAGTCCTGAGCACTGCCGGGTGTGGCCCCCAAAATCCAAAAGAAACAAAAGATTCTGAGGGCTCAGTGAGAAGACATACTGAACTCAACTAGCAATGTCTGCCAAGGGCAAGGAAGTCGGGAGGGGTCCCGTGCGCCCTCTCTTTACCAGACTTGCCCTAGACTCCAAGAACTCTTTCAGTTGCTCCAACAAGGTGGCAGGTAGAGGGGAATGGTGCTGGGAAAGGAGAGGAGATGAGCCTGGAGAGAGGTGGGCAGACAGGTTATTTGGGGGGTTTTTTGTTTGTTTGGGGGAGGCCATAGTCCATGATGCTCAGGGGTTATACCTAACTCTGGGTCGTTTCCTCAGTGCCTCAGGTACCACGTGATGCTAGAGATGGGACCTGGGGCTCCCCCAGGCTCAGCCTGCTGGACTCTCTCTCCAGCCCCTGGACAGGTTACTTTACCTCCCACAGCCTGTGCTGTGCCGACCTGCTTACCAAGGTGCCACCACCCCATCTGCAGGTGAGGCATGAGATTCCCCAAAGGTCAGCAATGTTCTTGGCCTCCACAGCTGCGCAGCTGGGTTTGATCTATGACTCCCCAGTCATCGCCTATGACAAGCTTTCTGCTCATTTGGCAAAAATCAAGATTCTTGGGGGGGGGTGGTGGGGTTGGGGCCACACTTGGCAGTGCTTGGGGTTACTCTGCCTCTGTGGAGCTCCTGGCGGAGCCCAGGGGACCCTATGGGGTGCCGGGATGGAACCCAGGTGGGCCACGTACAAAGGCAAGCACCCTCCCCGCTGTACTCTGGCCTGTGTTACGGCAGTGCCCACCTCTCGGGGCCGGAAGTCCTCCTCCTCCAGGCCCCAGCGGGCCCGGTGGAAGCGGTAATACACGAGGTTCTGCTGCATGACGCTGTCGTGGGGGTCGAAGAGCATGAAGCTGGCTGCGCTGCGGGCCGCCTGGCGGACGTCGTTCACTGCAGGAAGGACAGGAGTGAGGCGCCACCCACCAACCCACACTCCCCAGCTCAGGGAGAGCGGCCTCCCCACCACCCCCATCTCCCAACTCAGCCCTACCCCACCCCTCCCCGCCTCTCCGAATACCGCTCCTTCCACCCAACAGTGCACCCTAGAATGTGCAGGGTGCTTACTGCCTGCCAGGCCCTAAAGTCCTTGCTTGAGTCCTACCATTCTGGTCAAGCCTCCTTGTCTAGGTAAGAAATATGAGGACCGGAAAGGTGAGGCAATTGCTCAAGGACACAAAGCAGAGTCAGCTAGCACAGGGAAAGCAGAGGAGGATGCCCGGCCTCTAGCCCTCTGCCGCCTGGACCAGAAAGGGCCTCCAGGTACCTCCACGGCCCCTTCCACCCCAACTCCGTCCCTCCAGCCTCTGAACCGATGTAGGCATCCCTGCACAGCAGGAGTCCGGGGGATGGCATGCCAGTGCCAGCTGAAACCAGGATCACCCTCAAGCCGGGAGAGCCTCGAGTGGGGGTGCTTCTTGTTATCCATCATGTACCCTCCAGCCGCCCCTTGCCCTCCCTGAACCTCAGCTTCCCCATCTGAAAAATGGGTGCAGAAATGTCAGCTGCAGGGCTTGGTGGAAAATCACATGAGACAAGCAGAAGGGCAGAATACTGTTGTAAGTGGTCAGGCGCCAGCAGCTGGCCCAGGCTGTTCCCTGTTCCCTCCCCTGAGCCCCCACTAGCTCCAGGCTTCCTAACCCCTCTGCCCGGCACTCCAGCCTTCTCCCATCACCCCAGAACCCTTGATTCTGATTCTGAAGGAAAGCTGCTCCTGGGATGCTCCCCCTCTCCTCCCCACCGTCCCCTCTGCGAACCCCCAGGCTCACACTTGTAGTAGGCGAACTGCAGGTAGTGGTACATGGTGGCCACAAACTTCTCCACGAAGTAGCCGCCCACGTTGGGGGTCAGGTCGGTCTCGCAGTCCACCTTGCACCGCAGAGATTCTGCAAAGAGGTCTGGGGAGGGGGTAGCGGGTATTGTATGAACTCCTCTATCCCAAGGATGGGGAGACGAGTGTGGACGCTGCCCCAGCCTGCCAGTGGAGGTTGCCTGTCCAGCTCTCAGTGCAGGACAGGTGACTCTGAGGAGGACTGCGGGCTGACTGAAACTCCCCTGACCCCAAAGGTAGAGAGCCCCAGGTTGCAGGAGCGGGCTGGGAAGACGAGGGTGGGGGGGAGGGGCTGCGCAGACACTCTGCATGCAGAAGACTTGTTTCCAACCCTGGCACAACACGTCCCTTGAGCACTGTCACGAGCGGCCCTTTTCCCCCCAAACACCAGGAGAATGATAGGTGGGTTTTCCCTGTCCCTAGCTGAGGCACCCTGAGACCTGAGAGCCATTCAAGAACCCCAGACTAGGGGTCACTTCTGCAAACTCCTGTCTGGCTCTTTCCCACCTCAGCACCTGGCTTGCCTGGTGCCTTGGGGACTGTGAAGCCAAACTCCAGGGACTGCCCAGGAATGTCCCCAGCTGGCTGCACGCAGATCCAGCACCCCAAGCACTGGTGACTGCAGCCTGCTGCACCCAGTGGAGGGGCTCTGCGATGTCCATCTGTTCACGCCTCCCAGCCAGGGTTGGGGGTATGGCTTGCAGCTTCCTGAGCCCAAGGAAGGCTGAGCACGGGGTGGAATGAACACGTGTGAAGGCCCCCAGAGAGTGACGGGTGACTTGTGGGGGCTACCTGCTATGGCCGGGTAGAAGTCCTTGAAGTCCACCTGCTCTTGGGCCCCCTCACAGCCGGCCAGACAGCGGGCAAAGACGGCCAGGTACTCCGCCAGAGCCCGCTCCATGTCCTCCGTGCTGCTGCGGAAATCGCCGCTGTTGTAGAGCTTCACAGCCCGCAGGAACACGGCCTGGAGGGCAATGTGGCAAGTGGGGGGTCAGGGGAACCCCAACACCTTCCCCGGGACCAGTGGGGGAGGTCAGGGAGGCGCCCTGCACCGTTCCCTGCTCCAGCCCACCTCGTAGGGCTGCGCTTCCAAGTCGGTGAGGGGCTCCTCGGAGTCCAGCATCCCCCGGTAGTAGCTGAGATACTTGGCGGTGAGCTCATGCTTCGGGTTCCTCTGCAGGAAGGTGTAGGCCGCGGCCACCGCCTTCTCCAGCCGGTTAGCCTGCGGGGCGGGGGCAGGGCGGCTCAGGCGGGCGGGCGTCGGGGAGCCTCGGGGGACGTCCCGAGTCCACGCCGCCCCGTCCCACCTTGAAGTGCGCGTAGTGCAGGTACTGGTAGGGCAGGCGGCTCTGAAAGTCGCGCAGCAGCTGCCGGGGCGGGTAGGGCACCTGGAAGGCGGGCAGCGAGCGCTGGCAGCGGCGCAGGCAGGCGGCGCGCGCCAGGACGCGGCCGAAGAGCTGCAGCTCGCGGGCCCAGGCGTCGGCGCGGGCGGGCTCGGGCCCCGGGGCCGCGGCGCCGGGGCCGGCGGGGCCGCTGCAGTTGGCGTGGCAGAAGGCCTCGCTGTCCCGCAGCAGCCGGTGCAGCCGCAGCGCCGCCTCCAGGTAGCGCGCGCTCTCGCGCCAGCTCTCGCCCTCGTACTGCTCCAGCGCGTGGCTGTAGGCGGTGGCCAGGGGCATCAGGTCCTCGGGCGGGAAGCCGCGGAAGCTGTACTTCTCGTACTGCGCCCCGGCGCGGCCCAGCAGCAGCCACAGCAGTGCCCACGCCGCCCGCCCCATGCCCCCGCCGTGCCCGCGCGCTCTCCCGAGCCGGGCGCTGGCCGCCCCGCTGGCCGGAGGACGGACGCGCGGGGGGGCCCCGCGCCCGCTGGGTCTTAGCGCCGGGCACCGGTTTCCGCGTGTTGGGGGGAGGAACGGGGTGTGGGGGGGAGTGGCCTGGAGCAGGTCCTCGCAGGGGCACAGGGCCGAGTCCCCCCGTCTTTTCAGGAGCCCCCGAGGCAGTTTTGAGGCCCCTGCTTTTGGGGGTCCTCACCTTGATGGAAGGGGTGCTTCAAGCAGGACCGAGGAGTCCTGAGAGGTCGCCCCGCCCCGTTCCCCCTCCCGCTGCCCAGTCCACGCCCCTGACGCTCGGACACCTCGGCATCCCTTTCCGCGCACGGCCCCCTCCCTGCCCAGGAGCGGTCACCCCAAGTGCCCCCAGCCCGTGCACTCCTGGCTGCCCCCTCTCCAACTGTCACTGTCACCCCACCCACTCCATCTCCATCCCGACGGCTCTGCCCGGAGGCCAGTGTCCAGCTTTGGCCAAACAAGCCGCTCGGGCTCCTGGCCGGGCCGAGTCAGGGAGAACGAGGAGGGGCTCGGGAGCCTCGCCGGGCACCTGGGGAAGCCTAGGTTTGGGGGTGCCAGCAAGAACAGCGAGGGACGTTTCGGCCCGGCTTTAGGACCCGGGGGGCTCCGGAAAGACGCCGAACTTTTTCTTCTGGCTTTTCTTGGACTTTCTTGCTTTCAGGAGTCAGCCCGGCTGCTCATCTTTCCCCAACTCCCCGCCCCAGCGGGGCCCCCAGTTTGCTCGGTCCGGGATAGCGGGGGGTCGGGGGGAAATCCAGAGTTCTCTACCGAGCACCCCTCGGTCTCTAACGCGCTCAGCCTGCCCCCCACCCTCATTCCATCCCACGCCCCTACCCCCGCCCCTGCCAGCTCAGCCGCCCCAGCCCCCATTCCACGTGGACCCGCCAGGGCGGGGGTGGGGAAGGACAGGAAGGGGGGGAGCCTGGGAGGAGAAGGGGGGAAGGAGTCGCTGGCGGCGGCTCCCTCCTCGCTCACCGCCGGCGCCCAGCAGCAAGCACCATGTTCCCCGCGGCGCCCCGCGGCGCCCCACTTCTCCGGCGCCCCCTCCTGCAGCTCCTGCTGCTTCTGGTGCAGGCCGTGGGGAGGGGGCTGGGCCGCGCCAGCCCGGCCGGGGGCCCCCTGGAAGATGTGGTCATCGAAAGGTACCACATCCCCAGGGCCTGTCCGCGGGAGGTGCAGATGGGGGATTTTGTGCGCTACCACTACAATGGCACTTTTGAGGACGGCAAGAAGTTTGACTCGAGGTAATGGATTTGGGGGGGAAGGGTCCCGGAGATCCGCAGCTCCCCTTCCCTGCCCGAGTCCTTCTCCCGGCCCTCAGAGATCCTGAAGTCCTTGTCCCTCTTAAATTGGGTGTCTTTCCCCATTCACTCTTGACTATAAACATCACCTTCATCCTCTATGTGTTTTTTTTTGGGGGGGGGGGTTCTGGGCCACCTGCCTCTCCAGTGACATTCTCTGCCCTCAATTTCTAACTTTCCTCTGTCAAGGACCCCAACTACTTTCACACAAGCTCCCACACTCCCCAAGAGTGGGATAATCCAAGTGCAGGGCTCATTGCTTCCTTACATGGCTTTAAAGGGGGTTAGGGGGGTGGTGGTGGCAAAGTACATTTTATCATGGTATTCTAGAAGCATGTAGATGATCCAGAGACTGTTAGCCAGAGACCACCTGCCTTCCTAGCTGCCCTCCTTCTCCACCCTCAAGATTCAGTGCCTCTGCAGCTGGAGAGCAGAGAGAACTAACTCCCAGGTGGAGGGGCGTGGGGGCAGTGGGTACTGCAGGTCATAGGGAGATGCAAGGCAGGAATCTGATTAACCCAGGAGGATGAGGGGCCAGAGAAATGGAGGCCCATGGGGCAACAGCTATAGTGCAGTGGGTAGAGCATTTGCCTTGCACACAGCTGACCTGGGTTCGATCTCAGCATCCAGTCTGGTTCCCAGAGCACCCCCAGGAGTGATCCCTGAGTGCAGAGCCATGAGTAGCCCCTGAGCACTGGTGGGTTTGGCCCCCAAACAAAACAAAACAGACAAAGGGGCTGGAGAGATTGTACAACAGATAAGTTGCTGGCTTGGGTTCGATCCCTAGCATTTCCTATGGTCCCCTGAGCACCACCAGGAGTGATTCCTGAGTGCAGAGCCAGGAATAACCCCTGAGCATTGCCAGGTGTGGGCCTCCCCAAACAAACAAAAACCAACAACCAAAAGAAAAAAAACTGGAGGCCCAGGTGTGCTCCCTGCCCTGCACGACCCCCCCAGAATATTGCCAGGAGGAGCGAGCTCCAGAAATAGTTCTCAAGTACCAACCAAGTGTGGCCCCTAAAGCCCCAAGTAGCTGGATGGTTTGAAGGATGTAGGATACAGCTTGGCGCAGGGTCCCTGTCTGTGGCTATGACACACAGTGGACATGCTCCCTGGCTGACGGGACACTCACCCCTCCTCTCTGCGTGTCCCCCACTCCCTGGGATGGCTCTGCTAAGCCAAGGGGGAGACTGATTTTGGGCCTCACGCAGGCCTGGTGGACACTCTGGACACCGCTGTTGCTGGTGAGGGCAGGGCCTTGCTGCGTGTTCAGCTTTAGTTATACTTTGGGTTCAGCCACTCACACAAACCCAACCCCACTGATGAGTGCCGCTCAGACTCTTCTCCAAATACATGCTCAGATCACAGGAAATGAGCAGCCATGGCTTTGGGGAGGGGAGCGCTCACAGAGGGTGAAAACATGAGCTTCAGGGCTGATGCCCAAAGGGCTGGGGTGCATGCTTTGAGCCTGGGTTTGGGCCCAGCTCCGTCTACTACACAGACACCCAAGCCACCCCTGAACCTCTAGCAGGGAGTGGCCACCTCTGCCCAGGCCTGCTGGATGTACGCCAGGATCCATAAAGAAAAAGCCACTCAAAACATGAACTTCAAACTCTGAGGCACAGGGTGCAGAGTCAGGTTATCAGAGTGATCAAGAGACTTTGTCTCTGGGTGCAATTAATACAGTGGGGCGGGCGGTTGCCTTGTATGCAGCTGACCAGGTTCTAGTTCCAGGAATAATATCTGAGTAACCCCTGAGTATTGCCCGGCATGACCCAAAAAGCCAAAAATAAAAAAAGGGACTTTGCCTGTAAGTTTCAGTCCCCTAGAAACGGGGGATGGAAGACAGGCTCTGCCCTAGAAGGCAGCTGTCTAAATCAAGCATGATGGGTTAGAGTGGTGGCATCAAGGAGCTGGCCTGGTGGGACTGTGTCCTGTCTGAGCCCTCCCATTGCTACTACATCACACAGCAGAGGTAGAAGCAACAGAACAGTCCTGAGCCCAACTTGGTGACTGCCACTTGGTGGTTGGGCTGAAAACGGGCTAATGCCTTTGGTGGACCCAGTTCCTGCTGAACTTGGAAAACTTCCCAGCCCTCAGCTCCCTTCAATCAAAATAAATACCTCTTATCCTCCTTAGCTTCTAAAAGCTTAAATAAGGGAAGAAAAACTATGCAATCTTATTGGGTCGGGACCACACCCAGTGGTGCTCAGGAACTGAAGCTGGGTCAGCTAGCCATGCAAGGCAAGTGCCCTGTCCACTGTGGTGTCACACTGTGCCCCCCAAAATTAAAAACTTATTTTTTAAAATTTAAATTTAATTTAAATTTATTTAATTTATAAATTAATTTAAATTTTTAAATTTTAAAATTTAAAAAATAGTTTAAAATTTAAATTTTTATTTTAAATAGTTTAAAATTTAAATAGGGCTGGAGCGATAGCACAGCGGGTAGGGCGTTTGCCTTGCACGCAGCCAACATGGCCGACCCGAGTTCGATTCCTCCGCCCCTCTCGGAGAGCCCGGCAAGCTACCGAGAGTATTCGATATGCCAGACACAGTAACAACAAAGTCTCCAATGGAGACGTTACTGGGGCCTGCTCGAGGCAATCGACGATTAACAGGATGATGAAATGAAAAAAAAATGAAATTTTATTTAAATTAATTTTTGTTTAAATTAAAATTAAAATTTTTATTTCAAATATTTTAAAATTTTAAAAATATTTTTTAAAAAATTATTTACTTTTAGGGGCTGGAGAGATAGCACAGCAGGTAGGGCGTTTGCCTTGCACACGGCCGACCCGGTTCGATTCCCAGCATCCCATATCGTTCCCTGAGCGCCGCCAGGAGTAACTCCTGAGTGCAGAGCCAGGAGTAACCCCTGTGCATTGCCAGGTGTAACCCAAAAAGCAAAAAAAAAATTTATTTACTTTTAAATTGAATCACAGTGAGATACACAGTTACAAAGTTGTTCATGATTGGGTTTCAGTCATACAATGTCCAGAACCTGTCCTTTCACCAGTGTACATTTCCCAACACCAATGTCCCCAGTTTCCCTCCCGTCCATTCCCCCCTTAATGGCAGGCTCTCTCTCTCTCTTTTTCTCTCTCTTCTCTCTCTTTCTCTCCCTCCCTCCCTCCTTTTGGGCATTATGGTTTGCAACAGATACTGAAAGGTTATCAGTTCTTTTTCTTATTTGTTTGTGTTTTTATTAAGAAGAAATGAAAAATCAGTTTGTGGATGTAGGTCAGGGGGAGAGGGGGAGTAATACACCAGTAATGCTAAGTGTCGGGCCTGGAGAAAATGCAAAGGGATGGGGCACATGGTTTTTGTTTTTTCTTTATTTTTTGGGGGAGCACATTTGGTGGTGCTCAGGGGTTATTTCTGGATCTGTGCTTAGGAATCACTCCTAGCATGCTCAGGGACCATTCAGGATACTAGGGATCAAACCTGGGTCGGCCACATGCAAGGCAAGCAAGCATCCTACCTGCCTACTCTCTTCTGGTCCTGGAATACATACTTTGTGGGTTCTTTTCCTTTTTTTTTTTTTTTTTTTTCCGCTTTTTGAGTCACACCCAGTGATGCTCAGGGCTTACTCCTGACTCTGCACTCAGAAAATTTTTTTTAAACTTTGTAATTAACACACAGGATTTATTTATTGATTTTGCCTTTTTG